GACCCCACATTTATGTAACAAGAAACTCTTATTTTTGGCCACAGAATACGCCCCTGGATTTTTGACCTCTACTTAAGAAACACCCTGTAGAAAATAAAATTTAAAACTTTTTATATTTATTACAATTTTAATGTTGATCCCATTCTTACTTAACTTTATTATTGTGGTGTATAGGGTGCTTTCTATATACAATGTTTTCTTCCCCCAGAAAAATTAGGAAAAAAAATAAGAAATGTGTAACAATATAAACCATATATTATGTACTATTGCTTATTACAACTACACTTTTAATAAACCTGTATGTTGCACATATTTCCACCATTGAAAATTCATTTTCAATTTGAATTCAGAAGCATAAGATTTTTACTCAGAAGACAGACAGCCATGGACTAAAAAAGTTTTTCTTTAAGTAAACTCTTAAATGTTTTTTTCAATTATAGAGCTATTTTGTTTTTTTTATTGTTTACTCATGAAAAAATAAGGCTTTTTTGTTTTAAATGTAATGTATTAATTTGTACTTGGCCTCAACTCATTTGAGGTATAAAGGTGCGATCCCGACTATTCAAAGCGCTCATTTCTTAAGTGGTACCACTGGGATTTCTGTTGTCTTATGAGAGAGATACAATGACTGCCAAATTAGGATAAAGAAAGTTGAAAAATATATTTTGCCGCAGAAAAATCGTTTTTCATTTTGAAATTACAAGATGATGAAAATTTGTGTCTTCGTTCCTATTTTTTTAATCGAAACAGAACTTAAAGGACAGTTTTAAAGACAGTTTACTTGGAGGCACCAAGAACCCCAGAATTTTGACACTGCTGAGTATATTAAAAATTAGATCCTTTATCTAAGTTTTAATGTATACCAAATTTTGACCAACCAATTCTGACATTTACAAATTTTACAAGTAGATTTGAAAAATTTTCGAGGCAGCAAACGAAAACTCTTTTAATACCTCGTCATCAATCGAGGAAGAGTGCAAGTTTCCGAGTCACACATCCACGATGACTCCTTCGGGAATCATCAAGATGGAGACGTACGAGCCTACTGAAAGCCCTCTTGCCAGCATGCAGGCATTTAATCAACCGGCACAGTTGACAAAAGCGGATCCAAACCAAACCGCTCTGTCCGAGCCGATACACATGCTCCAGGAAGAACTCGAGAGGCTGCCGCCAGTGCCTCAATGAATCATACGGCGTGGTGCGGCTCAGACCTATACACTTCCCCCCGAGGACTCGTCGGTAGTTCAACACGACTCGAAGGCCAATCGAGAGGTTATGCAACATGCGCTATATATGGTGCCCAAGTGTCCAACGAATCAAAACATAGATCCACGACAGTAGTGGTAGTTGAGTCGGAGATCAGTTTCTGTCACCCAAGACGTCACTACCATCAAGTGCAGCTCTAGGCCTGTGGAGTGGGGTAAAGAGCAGAAATGGGTACGTTCCCCGCATGGTTCCATACCTGTGCAGTAGAATAATGGATGTGGTTTCACTTTCGTCTGTGGTATCACCGATATCTTTGCGTTTACTTTCAGACCTGCGTGATGGTGTACCCACATGCTTATCTCACACCACTGCTTGTTCTTTAGGAAGGGTAATTATGTTTTACTCAACTTAAAGCCTTCTACACAGTTCACATTATTTAGATGTTGTTCGATTTCCAACGCTTCCCATCTCAATAGGTACAACAAGTATCTCAGTGTCTTCGAAATTTATTATATGTCCATCATCTAACTCATGTTGGGCAATGGCTCATTTCTCAAGCTGGTTGAACATTAAGGCCTTTTCATGTTCCTTTCTTGTAATAACCAATCTCTTTGTCATACTTATACGCTCCCCTTGACATAGTATGCGGTATACACTGGGTTGACCAGAGGGTAATCACCAGAGAGCGGACAATTTGTGTCTTTAACCTTGAACATAGATATGTCATTCGTAAACTTAGATACATTATCCACGACGCAGTGGCGTGTCGGGTATGCATCGGAAATTTACGTGATAATTCACGAAAATTCCACGGTACTTACATTTTTAGGTGTTATAAAATATTTAGAAAATCAGAAATTGTATACTACATATTTATTAAATAAAGTTCGGTTAAAAATAGTGTCGTTCTTTTAATTGGAAATTAGGAGTCAATGTAACGAATATCCTCAGGCGACGGACATGATAGAATAGTTCAACTCATGCTCCATTCATAACAGGGCTGCAGTTTGAATTCTGATCAATAGGAATTAGATAAACGCAACCGATGTCGACGGAATGGACTAGAGATGGGCGCGAGTGTCATTTCATTTCTTTAGAATTAAATTAACTTAATTGTTTTCTCGTTATTTAACCTGTTCACACGATATATTTGCTATACATAATAATTATATTTTGCATAGTTTATACACAATACATTTTTGAACGCGTACACATCTCTACCAAAATTTGACCTACTCTTCGGGTTAAAGACACACATTGTCCGCTCTCTAGTAATCACATTGACCTTAACACCTGTTGAACTTTTCTTTTAGGGATGGACCTTGTACCTACTCCCTTCTTCTGTAATACTTTAGCAATACGGTCTGTTACATTATGAACATAAAGCAGGCATGCCATTTGTTAATCTTCATAAGGTTTGCCACATTCTTTTTGTGGAGATCTAGAATTAATGACTCTTTTGATATCAGATTTGTCATTACTGGACTCCGGGTACTCTCAATGAGAATAGATTTGTTCATAGATAGAAGATTTAAAAAAGCTTTTACGGGTATAGTGCCACAAAAAAATTAAAACCAGTGGGATGAAAGCATCGAAGACAATCTCTTTAGCCTACGAAATCGCACTGATGCCCCCTTCGGTGTCAGCTCCAGTGTAGCATTGTTGTGGGCCCTGTTAGTGCATATCGGGGAGTGGAGTCATCCGCTAGTAAATTGTAATGTCCGAAACGACCCACAAATATGAGATCAACAACTCGGAAATTAAAATCATTTCAAGTTTTTACAAACCATTATATGTTTAAGTTGTAAATCTCAAAAGCAATGATCTGTAAGAAAAGTAATTAAAGTACTAAGAAGCACTAATAAATGACATCAAATTCCTTTAGAGCTGAAAACATTTTAGGAGTTGGCTTTAAAATTTTAAAAAACTAGATAGCCAAGCAAACATTAACAAAAACACTCAAAACATTAATAAACACTAATGAACAATTAATGGATAACATAATTTAGTTTCAATTTTGAATATTTTAGGGACTGACCTTCAAATAAAAAAAATCAATTATTTCCGAAACTAAACAAGCACTAACAAAAATAAATGAAACGTTAAAAAATATTAAGGAAGAACTAAAGTAGGATCATATTCGATGCAAAGTAATAAATCATTGCCTGTCAAGGGAACCAATGAAGTACGCTTTTAAGGGTTTTACAAATGGAATAATTTCTTTATACATTATGAAGGGACGAGGGGATCAGTTCAGGTCTGGCACCCTTGTTGCTACAAAAATTCCTTTATTCTCATAAACTATTTATTTTAAATGTAATTTATTATAAATCCAATTTGTTTCCTAAATTCCACATATGTACTACATTTTACCTCTGTACGCGCCACTGTTGTTTACTTGTTTTTTGGAAGCGCTCTCTAATTGACAGCAAAGCTTGCCAGGTTAGTATTTGACATATAACCGACCAGTTCATACACTCGATGCACCTGGGCTACTACAGCTACTACCAGAACACAGTGCGTATGCAGCGGTATTTCAGATTTTACATTGAATTTCATTTTCGATTTGAAATTATTTATCTTACGCCTCCTAAAAATGATGACACGATTTTCCTTTGATAAAAGGCCGACAATTTTTTGCTCTACTTTGCATCATATACGATCCTACTATAATGGCACTGAATTTTTTAAGAAAAAATTCTATACCATGGATTCTAAGTTCATGAACCTACAAACTACTATAATTGTATGTTATTGAAATCATAAAGTTATATTCTACAAACATTTGGCCGAAAATTATAATTCTACTTATGAAAAAAATGTGGTCAAACACAGGCAACTGAACTTGGAAGGGGCAAAGGTAAATGAAAAATTTTTAAATGCAAAATACACGTCTGACAAAATGTCATAAAACATAAAATAATTTATTTATTATTTCCAAATGGTATATCCCACAAATTAAAATATTATTAAAAAAAAATAATAAGTATATAAGATGAAAAATGGTATGGTATGAATATATATATCATATAGTAAATCATATGATTGCTTTATTCATATCATTTGGTATTACTTTTTAAGTAAAAACTATTGGAAATCAAATTTTTAAACACCGATCAATAAAAACTTTTTTTATAACTGTCCCCTATAGCTTTACCGGTGACACCGTAATTAATAGTGATCGGCATAAGCGAGCAATTTTGATGATCAATTTATTAGTAGTCGAGTAGTTCTAATGATCAAGTCATCGGGATACAAAATATTGTCATTCTCAACACATCACTTGTATACATTTAAGCTTACAAATCAAACTGGAATCCTGTGCATTGTTATATATTTTATTATTAATATATTATTTCAAATTACATTCATTTTTTTATTTTCGTATCAACAGACTTTTTGTACCAAAGATTTTATTATATATGTGTTTTACAATAATTTATCTTATTTTTACAATCCCTCAAGCATTTTTATTATTCAGCCCTTTTAATGGGATGGAAATTAAATACCTTTTTACACAAAACTGAAGTATTAAAAAATGTGTCAAACTGACAAGACAACGACTGATCAGGAATCAAGAAATAGACTAACAAAATACGAATGAGAAACGATTGACAGTCGATGACTTCAGACTTGACTTGGCTTTTTATTATGGGAGTTTTCGGAGGTGGAACAACAAAATATTAATTGCTAAAATGATGGTAGTGAACATCTCGGGATATCTCAAGAACTTTTTCACTAAAGACATCCCGTCACTATTACTCGCAAAAAAATTTATATATAACATAACTTACCAATTTACACTCATTGCATATATGCAAGTCTTCTTTTTCATATTTAAACACAATTATAGGTGTACTTAGAGTATGATCGGAAGTTGCTGTTTCAGAATCTTTATCAGACTGTACAGAAGCACTGGCTTCTGTTAGATCACGAAGGGGTGGCATTGTAGAAGCAGCATCTTTTTCAGCCTAAAAAAGAAAATTACCTAGTTGTATTAAAATACATATAAATAAATAAATATAAATAAAAACTTTATGAAACATTCATTATTTACCTGTGATATTTCACGCTGTGTATCAGGAATAATACATAACTCTTCATCGGCTCCTTCTCGATCCTCATTGTTTATAGGTTCGAAAGAATCTGATGCTATAGGGTCATGTTCCATTAGTGTTCTGTTATTTGTTTCATCTTCCTTCTCATTATCTTCTCCATCTTTTTCATTTTCGGTATTAACTTGAACAAACTCCGTATTTTCTCTTTGATTGTAATTAACCTTGTCTTTATCCTGATCTAATGTCATTGATGGAGGATTGGACACCATGGAATCATTTGTTTGATCCTCCAACATATCCTTCTCGGTTTCCTTATTAACAGTTTTCTCAGAGGCATTATAGTCTAGATTATCGGCAACATTTATTTTCTCATTCTGATTTTCTGTATTACTACCGCCATTATCATTCTTCTTCTCTACACAAGTACTACTTTCACTATCTATTTTTTCTACCTGATTCTTTGTTATACTATATTCTTCAGTTGTTTTATTGTGTTCCTGATTTATAGGTTCATCCGTTTCAACAGAATTCATTTCAATTAAAGGGTTTTGGGTAACGTTTTCATTTGCAGAATTAGTTTTATCTTTATCACTCTCACAAGTACTTTCTGAAGAATATTCTTTGGTAAATTCAGTTTCTTTATATATTTCCTCTGAAGTGCTACTACTTGGAGTTTCTTGAGTTGCTGATATAGTATCGTTGACTAAATCACCAATATGATGAAAATTTATTTTCTCATTTTCTTTCTCTAATTCTTTATCTTCAGGTTGAACTGCAGTTGGTACGTCTACATTTTTAACATTATTAGCACTTTCATCAACATTATCACTAAAATCATCGATCCAATCCATCTTATTGTTTTCATTAAGTAGTTCAACAACAGTTCCTTTTTCAGCAGCAGTTTCAGTAATACCACTATGCATTTTCTCCATTTCAGTTTCTACAGTATTTGAAGTATTTAAATCCTCGATAAAGTCTTGTGTGGGTTTTTTTAATAACTCTGTATTTATATCATTTTCTACATTATCTGCAAGTTCAGTTGGTTTGTTAATACTATCGTTCCTGGGAATTGGACTAGGTAAAACATTTAATTCCTTATTATCCTTACTTGTGCCTATCACTATATTGCTTTCTATTGAAACATTTTCTGTGCCTTGCTCGGCAGCTAAATTTACATTACTATTCAATTCTTCCATTGTTATTATAAAATATAATAATAAAATTACTATTCTTTATTCATTATAACAAGGATATATAGTTATATCGTCCACAAATATTTTAAGTCACATAGTGTTTTATTTACGTTTACTTATGAACAATAATTTTCATCAATAAGTAGTTAATCAAAGTACGACAGAAATAAAAACACTACAAAATTGTTATTTTTCAAAATCCCGGCATTTTCTGCTGTTTGGTTAAATTTCAAATATAGCACTCATATCGTGGAAAATTTAACTCTCTAAAATAATATCACTAATAAACACTTATTAAAAATTATTTGCACTTTACAAAAAAGCCTATTCAAGACTTGTAAATATAACTTATAATATAACAAATTAATTATACATCAACACCAAGCCATATAATGGAGGATAATGTTTAGGTGTTTAGTTTGATGGTTTGCAATAATTTATTGGTGTCGCTAGTACGTATTCTGCCGCCAACCTTTTAATTAGAAATGTAACTGCCAACTGGGAAGGAACAGGGTTGCCATAACCACGGTTATGGTAACCGCGCCATTATTCCATGGCTAGAAATTGGCCTCAATGATTTGGGATCGAGGGGGATTATCCCTCTTTATCCTGCCTCATCTCGTGTAGGCCTGGA